ATATTTGATTGCCTGTTTCCATAGCTTTATGTCCAACACTGTTTCCTTTAAATAAACAAGAAAAAATAAAAAAAGAGACATCATGAGACTCCTAACCAACAAAGGAATGAACTATAAAATCAGAAAAACTAATATAATAATGTTCCTTTAAGTGTTCATTTTAAAGCAATTCATTAATTAACAAAAAAAGAAAGAGGGTAGGGAAATTCAATTCATGATGTAGGATATACAAAGATGAAATAAGATAAAATATGATACTGTCCTAAGTCTCAAGGCACTTAAAAATTCAGTACACTAAAGTGTCAGGGACAAAATATAGCACAGTTAGAAATGAAGAAAAGGCATATTCAAAATTAGGATTAGATGATAAAAAATATGTTGCTATTTTTGATCAACTGGTAGTCTGAATAACTTCTTCCTACGATCCCATCAATTCTACTTGTTTCTATATTTAACTTATGCAAAGTGAGAGTTTAATTTCAGAGAAATGGTTCTCTTGAATTGAATGAGGTTATTTTCCAAACTTACTATTCATAAAACAAGCAAAAGTAAAAAACAAAACCAACACCTTAACAATACCTCAATGTTTAGTCTAAATTTCAACCCATATTATGATGTGTTAACAACAAATATGCAGAAGCTAAGATATAAGAGAAATTCAAATAACCCCATATCTTCTAAAATACTTCAAAATATTTTTTAACATAATTTATGCATCCAGCATTACCGGGAACATAAATATATCTCATGTAATCAATATAACATATTTCCTATGAAAGCATAAAATTCCATTCTAAAGGTCTGGGAAATTTAAGGAAATAAAATAGCTTCATGGAAATAGTTTTATTTTTCTTTCAACATCATATAGATATGCCTCATTGTTTCAGAAAGTTAAATCCATGCCCTTAAACTGTACATGCATGCCATACATATTGCAGATGTACAGTAACTTATTATAACAGTTAATTTATGGCACATGATAATGCATAAAATATCCCAATACAAGTGCTAATAAGATTATGGAAATCACCAAATGATCCCTTCAGTCTCAGCTTGTTGGTCTCCACCTTTGAAAGGCTTTCCCTTGCCAAAACCGGTTTGGCTCAGTGGATAGAGAGTCGGCCTGCGGACTGAAAGGTCCCGGGTTCGATTCCGGTCAAGGGCATGTACCTTGGTTGCGGGCATATCCCCAGTAGGGGGTGTGCAAGAGGCAGCTGATGGATGATTCTCTCTCATCGATGTTTCTGGCTCTCTGTCCTTCTCTCTTCCTCTCTGTAAGAAATCAATAAAATATATTTAAAAAAAAGAAAAAAAAAGGCTGTCCCTTTAAATTAACCCTGTGTCAGTCACTGCCACATTACACTGCTGCTTCCCAATGTCCATAGCACTTACCACTATCTGAAATTATCTTGTTTATTTTCTTGGCTTTTGTCTGTCTTCTTCCACCAAATCGTAAGCTCCATAAGCACAGGTACTTTCTGAGTCCTGCTCACAGCTGAATCCCCATGACAGAGAACAGTGTAGGCACACAGTATCACTTGATAAAAAGTATTGAATAAATAAATTAGGGTAATGATCTCAAACAATAATGTAAACAAAAAAAAAAAAAAGAAAAAAAGATAGTAAGGCAGGATGGACTTTGGAGAATGGTAGTTTCATGGATTTTCAAAGACTCTGGGACCTCTAAGTTGCAAAGGCAACCCATTCAAAAAGTGAGCATCCGTATCCTATGATTAAGCAAGAGTGCACTTCCTTTCTCACAACACAATTATCTCTGTCAGCTGGGTTTTATTTTAAGGGAGCCTTGACTACAAGGCCACTCCAACCACAAATCTACTGCCCCACATTTTGCCACTGGGCATTATTGGCCCACTTGAGCTAATGATTTGCCAGCTGCATCAAGTTCAGACATGCCTTGTCTTCTCCATTTATACCACGACCCTTCTTCAAGTAAGCCTCTTTGCAAACCCCAGACTCCTGGCTAGGCTAGCCGCCCCTCACCAGTGCTCTGCCAGAAAAGTCATGGAAGGGGATGGTCAAAGTAACACAGAACTGATCTGGCTTTGCTTTCAGATGCTAGCTGGTTGTTGAAACCACCAATCCTCCCCAAGACATACACTTCTTTTGGAGGCAATAAAGGGCAAGATTTCTCAGGCACATAATCGCTGTGAGTTCTTGGCAATTCTCTTTCCATCTCTAGGCCTCAGAATCCTCTGTAAAGTAGGGATAAACCTCATCTGTCTCCAAGGAATTCTGTGAGGGTTCGATGAACTAACACACGTTTGGAAATCAGTATCCTGCAGGACATGCAGAAAGCGTCAATAAATCGGGGCTGCTTTTACTGTGCAGATGATGATATGATGATGATGTTTATCACTACATTATGAACTGGAAGGCAGTGGCAGTGCTTGGTTCCTGGTTAAGACTCAAATGTCACTTATAAACGTGGAAAGCCGGACAACGGCGTCCTCCTTAGGCTCTTTCCTTCCAGATCCTTCCCCCATGACATCCACCTCTAGCATCTGCCTTTGGCCTCAATTAGAGACAGGGAACTGGGATCAACACCAGATAGAAGCAAAGAGTGGGAACTACCTGGTCCCAGAGAGCCCTAGTTAAAAAAAAAAAAAAAAAAAGGGGGAGCGTCCATTTTAATAAATTATAGTAGCAGAGGCATTAACTACTATATGGCCGTTCAGAAATGCCCAGTGCACACCCAGGGACCCCCTCCCTCGCCAGCACCGCAGGAGAAGAAGAAAAAAGGCCCAGTTTTGTCCATAGGAGGTGGCTCTCCAGCTCGCGCCGGGGTCTACGAACCCGGACCCTCTGCTCCCGCCCCAGCGCCCCACGCCCACCTCCCCGCGCTCCTGTGATGAGGCTCCATCCCCAGCATCCGAGCATCACCGCCGCGCCCGCGGCCGCCGGCGCCCGGGCACCGCCTCCGCACCAGCGCCTTTCCGGGGGATCGAGGCCCGGAGCCCGGCACGGCGCTCGCTTCCGTACGGAGCCCGCCCCCAGCTCCACAGGCGCCAATTCCACCAATTAATTCGGCCTCGCCCGTGGTCTCGCCGCTGGGACCCTCGGAGTGAAGCCCCCTCAGCACGTGCACACCCCATCTCCCACGGCCCTGGGACTTTTCGTTCCCTCACCACGGGCCTTGTCAGGAAGCCGACGGCTCAACTGGTACTGAAAGAGAGCAGCTCGGTCCACCGCCGCCTCCTCCTCCTCCTCCCGGCCATATTATCAGTCTCCAGCGACAGCGCGGGCTCCAGGCAACGGCCGCCGCCGCCGCCGCCGGGACTCCACCTCTCAGGGCCGGCACTTCCGGTATTTGCTTCCCCGGCCGTTGAAACGGTTGGGCTATCATAAAACTACAATTCCCGAGGTGCATTGGGCTAGCGTTTTGGTCCAGTGATAGAGGGTGAAGTACTTATCAGGGCGCAATGTTCGATGGGAAGTGTAGTCTTTACTGCAAGATATTGCCTCTGCTACTATAATTAGGTGAACGCTCCTTTTTTAAAATTTACTTATTTATTTTTTTAAAATTTGTGATCGTTGGAAAACACATGCATCGAATTTTTTTTCTGTAAAGATAATATTGTTTAATCCTAGATGCCAACTCTCAAATTTAAGACATTGTTTACCCTTTTGCAAATCAGTGGGAAAATTATGTCTGAAAAAGGTAACAGGTTCAAGATGACAGGAAAAGCCCAAATGTTTTTAGCAAAGTTCTATCTAAACATGTAACAGTTTTCTGAAATATTAGAGGCTCAGTTCTTGAATTCGTGCACAGATGGGGGTCCCTCCAGCCCACCTGGATGGCGACCCATTGGGTAAGGCTGGCTAGGGGGAGGGAACTCAGAGATTGGCCAGCTGGCCCCACCCCCGAATTGGAGTGGGGATGGTCTATGGGGGGAGGGGGAGGGGCCATGGGTGGTTGGCTGGCTGGCCCACCGCTGGCGTGAACTCCCAGTTTAACTCCTGGTGGAGGAGACAATTTGCATATTAGCCTTTTATTATATAGGATGATGTAGTGGCCTCTTTCATTTCCTAACTCGGTTTTACTTCCTGCCTCCTTCCTGTGCACAGTTTTACATATGTAAAATGAACTTTTAAAAAATGACTGTCAAAGGGTTGTTATGAGGAACAACGTAATTCTTTCATAGTGCTTGGTACATAAGTCCTACTATTGGCCTTTAAAAGGTGGAGAAGCAAGGTTAGGAGGAGGAGGAATAAAGGTAGAAAGTCACTGGCTTAACACTGGGGTGGCTTCATGTTAATTGCCCTATTTACTTTACCTCTCCTGGCCTCAGTTTTCTCATCTATGAATTGAGGGAATCATTAAGATCCCTCCCAGCTTTATAATTCAACTAGAGGCCTGGTGCACAAAAAGTTGTGCACTTGAGGAGGGAGGGGGGCTGTTCCTCAGCCCAGCCTGCACCCTCTTGCAGTCCAGGACCCTCTGGAGATGTCTACCTGCAGGCTTAGGCCTGCTCCCTGGAATAGGGCCGAAGCTGGCAGTCAGACATCCCTCTGTGGGAGTGGGCCTAAGCCACTGTCAGACATACTTAGCGCTGCTGGGGAGGTGGGAGAGGCTCTTGCCCCTGCCCTGGTGCTGGCAGCCATCAGCCCTGCTTGTGGCTGAGCGGAGATCCCCCTGGGGGAGCACACTGACCACCAGGAGGCAGCTCCTACATTGAGCATCTGCTCCCGTGGTGGTCAGTACGCGTCATAGCGACTGGTCGTTCCTGGTCATTCCACTGTTAGGGTCAATATTACCCTTTTAGCACTGTTGCCACGGTGATAGTGACTGTCCATGTCATTATCTTTTTTTTCATTTTTTTAAATTAAGGTATTACATGCGTACATATCTTTTTAAAAAATATATATTTTATTGATTTTTTACAGGGAGGAAGAGAGAGGGATAGAGAGTTAGACACATTGATGAGAATCATCGATCAGCTGCCTCTTGCACAACCCCTACCGGGGATGTGCCCGCAACCAATGTACATGCCCTTGACCGGAATTGAACCCGGGACCTTTCAGTCCGCAGGCCAACGCTCTATCCATTGAGCCAAACCGGTTTCGGCTTGTATATATCTTACCATTACTTACCCCCCCCCCCCCCACTCCCATACATGCCCTCCCTCCCCAGAGTTTTTTGTCCATTATCCACCAACAGTAAGAGAAGCTTTGCAGTCAAGAGATGTTGTTTAACAGATGGAGTGGTTTCTGTTGGACACTAAGTACTGCTACAAATGATAGGGGAAAAAAAATAAAATTACCCTTTTATTATATAGGATTATATAGGATTATGCCTCCTTTTGCTATGCTCTTTCATTCCCTCCAAATCTGAAGAATTTTTAAAAAATATATTTTTATTGATTTTAGAGAGGAAGCACGAGGGAGAGCAACATGAGAGAGAATCATTGATCGGCTGCCTCCTTCAGGCCCCCAACTGGGGATGGGGTCCACAACATGGGCACATGTCCTGACTGGGAATCCATCCTTAACTTCCTGGTTCATAGATCGACATTCAACCACTGACCCACACGGAAAAATCCTTCTCAAGACGAGTGGTTTCAGTTTCCTGAGATAATGTTTACCCAACTCTTACACTCTATTCTTACATTACCCAATTCTTACATTACCCAGTTACACAAAGATAATTCTTACACTGCTGTAAGAATATATGATGTGATGCACGAAGCATTTGCTCACACATAACCTGGAGCATGCTAGGTGCTCTACATACGTTAGCTGTACTCAACACGATTACGGGTATTTACCCTCACGAGAAGGTAATCCCCAGGAGAGCAGGGACACCCTTGGCTGTGTCCTGAGCCCCCGGATTGGGGTTTGGCACACCTTGAATTGAACTGAGTACCGCTCCCAGGCTTCCGGGGCCGCGTCCGCGAGGGCAGAACGGAGGAGTCATTCAGAACCCTTGCAGTCGTACAACTGTACAACGGCTCTGGCATCCCTCTCCTTCCGGAGCCTGAAAGCCGGGTTGATGTCCGGACCCCAGAATCACCCAAAACAGCGCTTTTGGGACGTGATCCCGGGACCGGGGCCCGCCTCCGCGGCTCCCTGGTGGCCCCGCCCCCGCCCTCCGGAGGCCCCGGCCCTGATTGGCTGGGCGGCCGGCTCCTCCGGATGTGACTGCCGCCCCGCCGCCATTGCGCGGCGCTGTAACCCGTGGAGGTTGCTCCCGCGGGCTGAGCGCCTTGAACTCTTGTCCTTGCTCTTCGCTCTCCTGTCCCGGGAGCCCGGCGGGTCCGGGGTTCCCGTCCGTGCCGGTGCGGGCGCCGGCATGTGGCTGTGGGAGACGCAGGGCGGCCTCCTAGGCCCCTTCTCCTTCCTGCTGCTGCTGTTCCTGCTGGTGACCCGCAGCCCCTGCAATGCCTGCGTCTTCACCGGCGTCCTCTACCTCCTGCTGCGCCTCTTCAGCTTCGAGCCCCTGCCCGCGCGCCGGGCCCTGCAGGTGCTGCGGCCCCGCGACCGCGTCTCCGCCATCGCCCACCGCGGCGCCTGCCACGACGCCCCCGAGAACACGCTGGCGGCCATTCGGCAGGTGAGGCCCCGGCCGCCTCGCGCCCCTCCTGGGAGCGGGGGCTTCCTCCTCCGGCGTGACTTTTCCGAAGGTTCCCATAACCCCATTCGTCCGCCAGGAAGACATTGAAAAGTGGCCCTCGATCATCACCTTGACGCCTGGAAAGTCTCCAGATGTCAAATATTTACAGAACACAGCAAGTATTCACATGTTTGCCAGGCGCCAGGCACTGAGAATACAGACATGGATAGGACAGAAAGTTCTGGCTTTTACAGAACTTGCATTGGAGTCAAGGAGGGATAGGCTTTAAACACGTAAATACATACAGGAGACTCTTTAAGAGAGCGAACATGCAATGAAGAAACAGGGTAATGGGATAAAGAATGACTGTTAAGACCGCCACAAATGTAAGCTCTTTTAGGCCAAAAATCTATATATTAGGTCACTTTGTGGCGCACTTTGTGGCTTTTGTATAATACTTGCCATTTATTCTGCTTGGAAAATTCTTCCCCTGGATCTGCATATGGTTTATCTATTATGATCTCAGCTCAAATGTCATTTGCTTAAAAAAAATTATATGTATCATTGATTTCAGAGCTAGTGGGAAAACAGTCTGGCAGTTCTTCAAAAGGTGAAACATAAGAGTTAGCGTATGATCCAGCAGTTCCACTCCTAGGTATATACCCAAAAGAATTGAATCGTAAGAATTTGTATACGAATGTTCACAGTGTTATTCATAGAAGTCAAACAGTGGAAACAACAAAAGTGCCCATCAGTTGAGAAATGAATAAATTGAAAAGAATCAGTAAGAGTAGCTGTTGGTTGCCTTGAGTGTTTATATTACAAAATGACACTTGACATTAATATTGTTGATTTTTTGTTAAGGCAGCTAAGAATGGAGCAACAGGTGTGGAGCTGGACATTGAGTTTACCGCTGATGGGATTCCCATCTTAATGCACGATAACACAGTAGATAGGACAACAGATGGCACCGGTCGAATATGTGATTTGACATTTGAACAAATTAGGAAGCTTAATCCTGCAGCAAATCACAGATTAAGGTAAGTTGTTGATTGTCACTTAAACACATCTTCAGTTTTTGTTGGAGATTACAAACAACACTGGCATCTCCAAGCACATTTTCTGCTCCAGGAGAGTTGTTTGTTGTGTTTTATTTTGAACTGTCTATAGGTTTCCTTAGTAATAAGCAGGTGCTAGGAACAACAGAAATAGATGTGTTTTTTTTAATATATTTTATTGATTTTGTACAGAGAGGAAGGGAGAGAGATAGAGAGCTAGAAACATCGATGAGAGAGTCATCGATCAGCTGCCTCTTGCACACCCCCTACTGGGGATATGCCCGCAGCCAAGGTACATGCCCTTGACCGGAATCGAACCCGGGTCCCTCAGTCCCCAAGCCGATGCTCTATCCATTGAGCCAAACCGGTCTTGGCAGAAATAGATGTTTTTAATCTTTTTCTACTGAGGTCAAATTTGGCCTCAGAGTTGTTCTTAAGACAATGCTCAGTCACTAAAATGACAATTATGTTGTACTGTCATATAAATTATATATATCTATATCTATATCTATATCTATCTATCTAACTATCTATCTATCTATATATATATATAAAATACACACACACACAGGGGTGTCCCCCCAAAATGTATACACACTTTAACAGCTGATAGCTCAATTTTGAAAAATGAAATGTATATTTTAATAAACATTGCCTTTGTAATTATTCAAATCGTGTGGGTATATTTTTTGGGGGACACCCTATATATACATATATGTATATCAAAACTAGTCCTATACGATGTTCTCTAAGAAAAGGGAAGTAAAATCAAACATTGTACTTTAGTTGTTCCTCCTGGGAAATAGTCCATGTCAGTCAATTCTTACCTTTAATTTAGTGTTTCTCAAAATGTTTAGAATCCACACTCTTCCTACCATTAACAATTATAACCACCTTGGAATTGGTATATTGGGTAATAATATACTTTGGAATGTGGTTATTTAAATTCTTCTCTTCTTGTAATACTGAAAACTCTGCTTACTTTTATTATGTCATATCAGTTCTCTGGACAATGATGAGTACTACTTGAGTACTGAGTATTCCACTCTATGATTAAGTTAAATTCCTCCCGAAAAGATGATTAAGACTTAATTTTCCTAGGATCGGAAAGAAATTAAGTCAGCCAAAGGAAATTATGTTTTAGTCTAGAAAGAATATTGTAACACTTGCAAGTTCTAAATCTTTACTGGAGTAATCAGATATTTCATCTCTGCTGTATGTGAGGGAAAGGCTTTTGCTTTTTAAATATGTTTTTATTGATTTCTGAGAGGAAGGGAGAGGGAGAGAGATGGAAACATCAATGATGAGAGGTGGCGGAGCGGTGCTCCCCCGTGGGAGCTCCTGGTGGTCAGTGCTCGTCATAGTGACTGGTCATTCCACTGTTTGGTCTATTTGCATATTAGCCTTTTATTATATAGGATTAATTGTAGAGAGGAAGGGAGAGAGAAACATCAGTGATGAGAAAGAATCATTGATTGACTGCCTTCTGCATGCCCCCCACTGAGGATTGAGCCTGCAACCCAGGCATGTGATTTTGACTGGAATCAAACCCAGTCCCCTTCAGTCCCTAGGCTTACTACGCTCTATCCACTGAGCAAAACCGTCTAGGACAGTTTTGTTTTTTTCTTGAACACCAAATGATAATTTGCTTGTGTTTAGGGCCCATGTTTTAGAAAAACTACTTATTTTCTCTATAATTACCCAAAGTGATATCATCCTGTGTGTCATTTTATTCAATGCCTATTTCTCACTCCAAGGAATAGGCATTGAATAGAATGGCTGGCAGAATTGCCTGTACTATTTCCATTATCTTTATCTTTTTTTTAAAGCCAAGATCTTACAAATAAAATAATACAGTTGAATTAGCATAAGTTAAATCATGTGCTGTGAAACTTCATTATGTGAGAAAAGCCTATTTCTTAATATCTTGCACTTAACTTTCCTTTATCAGAAAATTATATATTAGAACATTATTTATTTTACACGGTTGTACTTAAATGAACAACAATACAGTCAACAGATTTATGTAATCCTAGGAATTTTTTCCTGTAAAGGTTTTCTGTTAGGGTAATTACAATCTTAAATTAAGTCTCTGAGTTTTTCAAAGGTGGCATATGTTCTGCTCTTTGGTGAGTAGAATTTCTAATTATATTACTAATTTAGTGGAAATCATTAATTTCCTAAAAATTAAATGATTTTTGTTGTTGTTTCTGTTCTTTGTTCAAGAATATTTGTACTTTGGTTCAAGTCCATATAGTAAATTACCCCTGGACTTTAGTGTAGTTAAGAAAGGAAGTTGGGGAAAACATTCTTACCTTTTGTTTGGGAGACATTGTTTAAATGTCTATTCCACTAAACTTGTGCTGCTTGTTTTTCCTGCAATGTGCTATGCTTTTTCCCTCTCTGACAGGAATGATTTCCCTAATGAAAAAATCCCTACCCTGAGAGAAGGAGTTGTAGAGTCCCTAAATCAAAACCTCACAATCTACTTTGATGTCAAGGGCCATGCAAATCAGGTAAAATTTATACCATAGACTTTGCTTTTTAAAAAAAGACATCTCTAATTGTTAGTGATTTCCAAAACTGCATATTTTGTTATTTATTCTTTTTTTTTTAAAAATATATTTT